AAGGGAAAAAAGAAGGACATGGTGGATGAGCTGCTCGATGCGGACGATCGATTCACGGAAGAGGAAATAGTTGATTTCCTTCTTTCCTTATTTGTAGCCGGCCATGAGACCACGCCGACGATCATGACTCTCGCCGCCAAATTTCTAGCTGAGAATCCCTCCACCTTCGTCCTCCTCAAGGTACCCTGCAATTCCGTTTATCTTTTACTTAGTCGTATAAATGGATGAAAAAAGGAGAGACCTTTGCGCATTGCAGGAAGAGCACGATGAGATACGGAGGAAGAAGATGGGCGATTTCGAAGCATTGGATTGGAACGATTACAAGTCGATGCCTTTCACACAATGCGTCATCAACGAGACTCTCCGCGTCGCCAATATAATCGGCGGCGTGTTTCGCCGCGCCGTCGCCGATGTTCATTTCAAAGGTCTTCATCTCTACTCCGTAATGATTAAAAAAATCAGGTTTTTAAGGTGATGTCCGGCAGTAGATGAAATTTTTATTCAGTATGTGTACCGCACGAACTCCTACATGCGGTGCCGAATAAAAATTCGTCACGTGGAATTCGATTCCGCGTGACTTTTCACCTTAAAAATGTTAATTTTTTACGCTACCCGACCCGAATCCCGCCCAAAAACAAAACGCATTTTTGTCCTTTTTGATTCCCGCTAATTGAAAAAAAGTGGCATTTTGTCTGCTTTAGGGTTTAGGGATTAGGTATATTCTCATTTTTTGCCTCGTGTTCGCTGGAGTTGATTCGATGGAAATAATTTTTGACGAAAAAATGTTGGTGAAATCCCAAAATACTCGTGAGAAACATAACAATGAGATGAAATCTCAGAATATTTCCGAAAATAATAATATTGAACAGTTTAGATGCGGCGAAGGACATCGATAGGTACGTTGAGGACTTGTTTGAATGCAGTCCCAGGTTTTATGGAATAATTTTATTGTTAATTAAGTTTGTTCTATTTTTTGATGAGGTTTAACGTTAAGTTTCGGTTGGATGGGATGTGGTGTTATTTAGGTAATACCATGGTGATACACTGGTTGTTTTTGCAGTTGCTCTCAATTTCTTATTGTTCATTAGAATATTAGTTGGGGTTTGATGTTATTTTGGTAGTATCACAGTGTTATTTTGGTGGTATCATAATGTAAAGTGAATGTCTTGAGGATTTGGTGTTATTTTAGTAGTATCACAGTGTTATTTTGGTAGTACCACAACGTAACGTTTCTTTCATGTGGATTTTTACTTTCATGTGAATTTAGTGTTAATTAGGTATTATCACAGTAATATACTGGTTGTTTTTGCAGTTGTTTTCCATTTCTAGTTGTTCGTTATAATATTAGTTGGGGTTTGATGTTATTTTGGTAGTATCACAGTGTTATTTTGATGGTATCACAATGTAACGTTACTGACGTGGGGATTTGATGTTATTTTGGTAGTATCACAGCGTTATTAAGGTAATATTGGATCTGCTGACTTGATTTTCTTTTAGGAGGCTAGCAACATTTATTAACGACATTTTATAGTATTATTATGGTATTATTATCTTGTTATTTATGTATTCTAACATTGTATTAATGATGTTTAAATCTGCAGTCCCCCGAGGTAGAGAAATTGCTTCATGCAATGGTCCACAACGAGAATGAAACATATGAACAATATTGTTTATATGCACACCATATTGGATTTACTGTGCGAAAGAAACACAGTGATTTTTGGCCGAATTCAAAGAAACTGAAGACAAAAGACTTTATTTGTGGTAAGGCTGGTTTCAAGAAAAAGTTGAAGGACACTATCACTGTGAGGTTCAAAAGAGCGGACACAAGGACTGATTGTCTAGTCATGATCTGATACTTCGTTGATTTAGAGGGCAACTGGTCGGTAAAAAAATTCATGGAAAGTCACAACCATCCGTAGGCGGAGGAAACAAACATCTACTGCGTTCCAACAGAAAGATGTGTGATATCAGTGCTGATATCCTCAAATCAATGACAAAATCAGGGATTAGAACCAGTGATGCATTCAGATTCCTCGCAACTAAGGTTGGATAAGTGGAGAATCTTGATTGCACAAAGAGGGATGCATATAATTTCATACAAAGAGAGAGAAGAGTTCATTGAATTAGGAGATGCTAATTCTTTCATACAATTGTTCACTACTCGACAAGCGGAGGATCCAATGTTTGCGTGAGACTTCCAAATTAATGAGGCAAGATGTTTGGTGAATTTTTTATGGTGCGACAGGATGTCCATGATTGATTACGACTGTTTTGGGGATGTAATAATATTTGATACAAGTTATAAACTGAATAAATACAATTGATGTTGTGCTCCGATTGTCGGTGTGAATCACAATTGACAGAATGTTATATTTGGTGTTAGTTTTTTGTCAGATGAAACGATTGAATCATTCAAGTAGTTATTCAAAGCTTTTATCCGTATAATGGATAACAAACATCCGATAACAATATTCACTGACCAGGACCAAGCAATGTCTAAAACCATTGAAGAGTGTTTTCTGCAAATCAGACATAGATTATGTCAATGACACATCTACAAGAAGTTATCTTCAAAAAATCATTGTGGCGTGGGTAGCAAGAGAGTCAATAATCTTTTTTTATAAATGCTTGAGCAAATGTGACTCTGAAGAGGAGTTTGAAGAAATTTGGGGTGAAATGATCGAGAAAGGAAAACTACGCGAGAATGTTTGTTTGAATGAATTGTATAATATCAGACATAAGTAGTCAACCGCCGTCAACAAAGAAATTTTTGGAATGAGGATTCTATCAATGCAAAGAAGTGAGTCCACAAATAAGATTTGCCATGATGTCTCCAAGGCAACAAACACCCTGACCAAATATTTTTTGGGTCTTGAAAATGTCATCAAGGATTGAAAAAGAAATGAAAAGGATGAAGAATTTAAATGTCAGGAGTTTGTAATTTCTCTCACCGTTAAAAGCAGTCCAGTGTTGAGACAGGTTTCTACACTTTACACTAGGAAGTTATACTCAATGTTTGAAGCACAGTTTCTACATGGTTTGTGTGGGCTTGCTGTGGAGTGCTCCAGTACTATGGATTCAGAATTTCATATCCGAACTCTCGATAATAAGGACAAAGCTAGACCCTGAATTGTTAAAGTGGACAGTGTAATTCTGATATTACGTGTAGTTGTAAAAAGTTTGAAATGATAGGTTTATTATGTGCTCGCGCTCTAAGGGTTCTGCAGCACAAAAATATTACAAAAATCTCTGATAAATATATTTTACTTCGGTGGACTATTAATGCGAAAAGGGACATATATAACAGTTATGGTTATGCAAATCGCAAAGTTTCAGAAATGTTGCCAAATTCTGCAAGTGGACTCATCTATCTCAACCACATTCATAAATTTGCATACCAGATCGGCACCATAACATGAGGCCATGAACTTGCAGAGAAGCTAGTGTTGGAGGCATTTAATAAAATTAAAATCGATGTCGAAGCCGCTATGAGTGGACGAGACCATCCTGAAAAGTCAAAATCGAAGAAGAAGAAGACACCCAGTAAAGAGCGAAATGTGAATGATCCCACGAAGATGCGACCAAAAGGAATATCCAATGCAAAACTAAAATGGTACTGGGAAAAAAATAAGAGATGCAAAAGTAAATGTTACTTATAATATTAAGTTTTGTATTTTTTTTTATAAAAGACTACTCACTAACAGGTAGTATTGTATACATGAAATGAGAAAGATAATGTTTCAAGCCATGATAGCATTCCGAAATGCGATCCAAATTTATTTTCAATGACAGATTACTTTACTCAGGTTACGGAATCGATCCTTCTGAAATTGTCTGCTGGATTTAGACTTCTTTCCTGATATTTACTCATTAATATTATCAATGTACAAAAATTTTCTCAAACACAACAAATGAGGACATATACGAACTTACTGATGGACATACATGATAATATATAGACTACTTATTGTTAAAATTATTGTATTATTGCTGTTTAAGTTGAAACAGACATTTGTTTTACTGTGTTTTTATTTACGAGTTATTATGACGGCATATTCCTATAAAACCAGTGCTCGTTATACGATTTACATGAATAAAACCTGAACACGGCCGTAAAGAAACCAAAATACAACCAACGCGATTTCCTTAAGACATGTTTATTTCTGCCGATCCGTTTGGTTTCATTGGAATCTTTAGCGGCATATTCTAATAAAACCAACATTCGTGAGACACGGCAGAAGAATAAAACCATAACACAATCGTAAATAAACGAAAATACAACCAGCGCGATTTCCTTAAAAAAGATTTATTTCTGCCGATCCGCCTGATTTCATTGGAATATTTGGCGGCATATTTCAATAAAACCAACGCTCGTGAGACACGACAGAAGAATAAAACTTGAACACGACCGTAAAGAAACCAAAATACAACCAACGCAGTTTCCTTAAGACAGACTTATTTCTGCCGATCCGCCTGGTTTCATTAGAATCTTTGGCGGCATATTCCAATAAAGTCATCGCTCATGAAACACGACAGAAGAATAAAACCAGAACAACACCGTAAAAATATCTAAGTACAACCATCGCGGTTTCCTTAAGACAGGTTTATTTCTGTCGATCTGTCTGGTTTCATTGGAATCTTTGACGACATATTCCAATAAAATCAGCGCTCGTGGAACACGACAGAAGAATAAAACCCGAACAACACCGTAAAAATACCTAAGTACAATCAACGCGGTTTCCTTAAGACAGGTTTATTTCTGCCGATCTGCTTGACTTCATTGGAATCTTTGACAGCATATTCCAATAAAACCAGCGTTCTTGAGACACGGCAGATGAATAAAACCATAACACGACCGTAAAGAATCCAAAATACAACCAGCGCGATTTCCTTAAGACAGGTTTATTTCTGCCGATCCGCCTGGTTTCATTGGAATCTTTGATGACATATTTCAATAAAATCAGCGCTCGTGATACACGACAGAAGAATAAAACCCGAACAACACCGTAAAAATACCTAAATACAACCAGCACAATAAACTTAAGACAGATTTATTTCTGTCGATCTGTCTGTCAGACGCTTTAAACGAACGCTTTAAACGAATAAAACCTGAACAGGACCGCGACGAAACCAGAATACAACCAGCGCTCGTCAAACACGGCATAAGAATACAACCTGAACAACACCATAAAAATACAACCACCGCGACATATTCCAATAAAACGTGAAGACGACCGTGATGATACCAAAATACAACCATACTGATACTCCACTAAATAAAAACAGTATGAATACTGCAGAGGTAAAATCACAATATATTACAATAATATGAATATTGCAGAGGTAAAACCACAATATATTACAACAATATGAATACTGCAGAGGTAAAACCACAAT